TCAAAGTTGCCTACACAAAGGATACAGTATTATCCTCAGCATTCATCCAAAAGAAAGCTGAGAAGGATGGAAAACTACATCCTGAAATCTTTTGCTTTCAGCTCGGTGCAGACAGTACTTAAATGAAATGTAATTCCTTTCCCAGGTCTCTAGAAAACAGAGTGCCCCTCTCCAAATGGAAACAGGGCCATATGTGGGCCACCATACTCTTCTTGCTCACACCAGAATATGGCCACCATTTCAGGGCTATAATGGTCTGGCATCCACATTCTGCAACCACTGACTCACCTGCACTTAATCAACTGACCGACTTGATTTTTCTTAAAGCTAATCTTAAGACTACTGTCTTAAGATCCCCTTCATGGATCACTGCCTTGCCGTGGCGAAGGGGCTTGAATAACTCAGAGAAGCTATGAACTATGCCGAGCAGGGCACCCAAGATGGACAGGTCATAGTGGAGTTTTGACCAAACGTGATACACCTGGAGCAGGAACCGGCAAGCCACTCCAGTATCCCTGCCAAGAAAACTCCATGGACAAAGACAACAGGCATATAAAAGTTGTGATGCTGGAAGATGAGCCCCTCAGGTCGGAAGGCGTCCAACATGCTACTGGGGAAGAGCAGAGGACAAGTACAAGTAGATTCAGAGCTGATGAAGCAGATGGGCCAAAGCCGAAAGGTCGCTCAGTTGCGGATATGCCTGGAAGCGGAAGGAAAATCCAATGCTGTACAGAAAAATATTGCATAGGAACCTGGAATGTAAGAACCATGAACCTGGGTAAGTTGGATGTGGTCAAAAATGAGATGGCAAGAATAAATATTGACATCCTGGGCATCAGTGAACTAAAATGGATGGGAATGGGCAAATTCAGTTCGGATGACCATCATATCTACTACTGTGGGCAAGAATCCCATAAAAGAAATGGAGTGACCCTCATAGTCAACAAAAGAGTGGCGAAAGCTGTACTGGGATGCAATCTCAAAAATGATAGAATGATCTCAATACAAATCCAAGGCATCACAGTAATCCAAGTTTATGCACCAACCATTGGTGCTGAAGGAACTGAAATTGACCACTTCTATGAAGACTTACAACACCTTATAGAAATGACACCAGAGAAGGATGTTCTTCTCATTATAGGGGATTGGAATGCTAAAGTAGGGAGTCAAAAGATAAAAGGAACAACTGGCAAGTTTGGCCTTGGAGTTCAAAACGAAGCAGGGCAAAGGCTAATAGAGTTCTGCCAAGAGAACAAGCTGGTCATCACAAACACTCTTTTCCAACAACACAAGAGACGACTCTACACATGGACATCACCAGATGGGCAGCATCGAAATCAAATTGATTATATTCTCTGCAGCCAAAGATGGAGAAGCTCTATACAGTCAGCAAAAACAAGACCTGGAGCTGACTGTGGCTCAGATCATCAGCTTCTTATAGCAAAATTCAATCTTAAACTGAAGAAAGTAGGAAAAACCACTGGGCCGGTAAGATACAATCGAAATCAAATCCCTTATGAATACACAGTGGAAGCGAGGAACAGGTTGAAGGATTTAGATTTGGTGGACAGAGTGCCTGAAGGACTATGGATGGAGGCTCGTAACATTATACAAGAGGCAGCAACTAAAACCATCCCAATGAAAAGGATATGCAAGAAAGCAAAGTGGCTGTCCAACGAGGCCTTACAAATAGCGGGGGAGAGAAGGCAAGCAAAATGTGAGGGAGATAGTGTATCTTTATACAGGAAATTGAATGCAGATTTCCAAAAAATAGCAAGGAGAGACAAGGAGGCCTTCTTGAACGAGTAATGCAAAGAAATAGAGGAAAACAACAGAATGGGAAGAACCAGAGATCTGTTCAGGAAAATCGGAGAAATGAAAGGAACATTTCGTACAAAGATTACCATAATAAAGGATAAAAGTGGTAAGGACCTAACAGAAGCAGAAGACATCAAGAAGAGGTGGCAAGAATACACATAGGAATTATACCAGAAAGATATGGATGGCTCGTACACCCCAGGTAGTGTGGTTGCTGACCTTGAGCCAGACATCCTGGAGCGTGAAGTCAAATGGGCCTTAGAAAGCACTGCTAATAACAAGTGATGGTATTCCAGCTGAACTGTTTAAAATTTTAAAAGATGATGCTGTTAAGGTGCTACACTCAATATGCCCGCAAATTTGGAAAACTCAGCAGTGGCCAGAGGATTAGAGAAGATCAGTCTACATCCCGATCCCAAAGAAGGGCAGTGCCAAAGAATGTTCCAACTACTGCACAATTGCACTCATTTCACACGCAAGCAAGGTAATGCTTAAAATTCTACAAGGAAAGCTCAAGCAGTATGTGGACAGAGAACTCCCAGAAGGGCAAGCTGGATTTAGAAGAGGCAGAGGAACCAGAGACCAAATTGCAAACATGCGCTGGATTATGGAGAAAGCTAGAGAATTCCAGAAAGACATCTACTTCTGCTTCATTGACTACGCAAAAGCATTTGACTGTGTCGACCACAGCAAACTATGGCAAGTTCTCAAAGAAATGGGAGTGCCTGATCACCTCATCTGTCTCCTGAGAAATCTCTATGTGGGACAAGAAGCTACAGTTAGAACTGTATATGGAACAACCGATTGGTTCAAAATTGTCTCCCTGCTTATTTAACTTATATGCAGAATTCATCATGTGAAAGGTTGGACTAGATGAATCCCAAGCCAGAATTAAGATTACCGGAAGAAATATCAACAACCTCAGATATGCAGATGACACAACCTTGATGGCAGAAAGTGAGGAGGAATTAAAGAACCTTTTAATGAGGGTGAAAGAGGAGAGCGCAAAATATGGTCTGAAGCTCAATATCAAAAAAATGAAGATCATGGCCACTGGGCCCATCACCTCCTGGCAAACAGAAGGGGAAGAAATGGAGGCAGTGAGAGATTTTACTTTCTTGGGCTCCATGATCACTGTAGATGGTGACAGCAGCCACGAAAGACGCCTGCTTCTTGGGAGAAAAGCAATGACAAACCTAGACAGCATCTTAAAAAGCACAGACATCACCTTGCCAACAAAGGTCCATATAGTTAAAGCTATGGTTTTCCCAGTAGTGATGTGTGGAAGTGAGAGCTGGACCATAAAGAAGGCTGATCGCCGAAGAATTGACGCTTTTGAATTCTGGTGCTGGAGGAGACTCTTGAGAGTCCCATGGACTGCAAGAAGATCAAACCTCTCCATTCTGAAGGAAATCAGCCCTGAGTGCTCACTGGAAGGACAGATCCTGAAGCTGAAGCTCCAATACTTTGGCCATACTCTCCACCTTAGAGCAGATTTATGCCACAAGGTGCCATAGGAAGGCACTGGACATAGTAAAAGACCCATCGCATCCTGGTCACTGTCTCTTCGAGCTCCTGCCGTCGGGACGGAGATACAGGACGATGAAGACAAGAACGAGCCGTCTTAAGAACAGCTTCTTCTCCAGAGCGATCTCGGCCCTGAATGGGAAGCCTGGACTTTGAAAGTCATCTAATCTTCCTTGCTGTATTATACTGTATTGTTTTAATTAGTGTTTTTATAGTTGTTTTGATTTTGTGTGGAGTGCCCTACCTGGGTGGATGGAGCAGCCAAGTAATTTCGTTGTCCCCGAGAGGGGGCAATGACAATAAAGATATTATTATTATTATTATTATTATTATTATTATTATTATTATTATCTCCTCATGAGAAGAGAAGACTCCCTGGAAAAGACCCTGATGTTGGGAAAGATTGAGGGCACAAGGAGAAGGGGACGACAGAAGACGAGATGCTTGGACAGTGTTCTCGAAGCTACGAACATGAGTTTGACCAAACTGTGGGAGGAAGTGGAAGACAGGAGTGCCTGGCATGCTCTGGTCCATGGGGTCACGAAGAGTCGGACCCAACTAAATGACTAAACAACAAAAACAACAAGAAGACTACTACAAACATTTGGAAACTAAACAGAACTCTTTTTCGACATGATGAGTAATTATATAAATTGTCTTCAATATATAACTGCCTTAGCTTAGCCACCGATGGAGCTGACAGACCATTAACAGGAAAAGCATGCACCTCAATAACAATGCTCAGCATTTGTACAGTACTTTGAATATGTTATAATTTCTTGCAATCACTGTTGTCCCCCTGTGGCCGATGGGGGTCTGAGGCTGAGAGAGAAAAGCTTGTCCAAGGCCATGTAATACAGTCATGGGAGAGGTAACATTCAAAGCCAGGACACAAGTGCTTAGCTCAGTACATTATTTTTCTTATTTATTTCAAGTACTTATATACAACTTTTCATGTGAAAATTTCCCAAAGAAGTTCATTAGCCATTGTGTTATGCCTGCTTGTAAATATGAAGATCACCCTTCTGAGCAGGATAAGGAAAATTTCCCCAGATTATTTATATCCTATCTTTTCTCAAAGGACCTCAAAGTGGTGCGCACACTTTCCCCTCCCCTCTCCATTTTATCCTCACAGTGACCCTGTGAGGTAGGCTAGACTGAAAGACTGTGAGTGGCCCACGGTCACCCAGTGATCTTTGGGGCGGAGTGGGGATTCAAATCCTGCGTTCCCTGGTCCTAGTCCATCACTCTAGCCCCCATTGGCACTTTTGAAATGTAAAGAATCAAGGTCTAGCTAAGGAATTTGGCTACTTATGTTTATATCAGTTGACCTCACAATGGGAGTTTTAGATTTATCAATTTTTTAAGAAACTTAATTAAATCAAAATGAAATGCTGCTTTAACTGTTCTGCACTGCTAGCACTGCATATTTTGTGATAGTACACTGCCAAAGGAGTGGATATAGTCCCACGTTAAGCACCTAGTCACTCACTTGCTTTCGCTCCGCCCTCATCTGCTCCATTTGGGCCCTTGGACAGCGAAGTCTTATGAGCCACTCCAAGTCTGTACTTTCCTGCCTTGGCACTCCAGGATAGACCTAGTATGAGATTGTTGAATTAGCAAAAAAAAAAAAGGGGGGGAGAGCCCACTAGTCTTAACAAACAAAAATATTCAGAGGCCTTTAAAGAATATACTGGCTCCTCTCAACAGCTCCAGATCAAGCCAGACGTAAACTTTCTACTAACTCACTCTAAAAGTATATGTATCTTATAGGCTACTGAGTGGAATGGGGAACCAGTACTTAGTACAACAGAACTTCTCTACAATAGACAATAAGTGTTCCAAAGTTAGGTCATAGGACTGTGACATCAGTCCTCAATTCCAACTTATTCAATTCTTTGAGATGTTTTTCTTTATTCCCTAGAAGTTCTTTCTACCTGAAAGAACATGGCATAACAGCAATGGATATGCAGAAATTAGATAAGGTGACTAAGCAGAATGTACTTGGCATAGTGTTATGGAAATATTAAGTGCTGTATCTTAGAAGTACAATGCACACATACAGTGCTTCCCAAAATTCTCGTCTTCTGCTATAGTTCTGAGAAACTATGAAACAGGCCAATTACAGCACAAACATGCAATACATCTTTAATGATACATAAGAAACTAGTTTAACAGTGTTTCTATGTAGCTATCACACTAAGATTTAAATAGCTGTACAGTGGTACCTCAGGTTACGAACAGTCCTGCTTACGAACGCTTCGGGTTACAAATTACACAAACCCGGAAGTAGATGTCCCAGGTTGTGAACTTTGCCCCAGGATACAAATGCAATCTGCTTCTGGGGCTGTGGGAGGCCTACATATGTAGGGAATGCGTGCCTCAGGTTAAGAATGCTTCGGGTTAAGAACGGACTTCCAGAACAAATTAAGTTCGTAACCCAAGGTACCACTGTAAATGATTGCATTAGGTAAAGGTACCCCTGCCCGTACGGGCCAGTCGTGTCCAACTCTAGGGTTGTGTGCCCATCTCACTCAAGAGGCCGGGGGCCAGCGCTGTCCGGAGACACTTCCGGGTCACGTGGCCAGCGTGACAAGCTGCATCTGGCGAGCCAGCGCAGCACACGGAACGCCGTTTACCTTCTCGCTGGTAAGCGGTCCCTATTTATCTACTTGCACCCGGGGGTGCTTTCGAACTGCTAGGTTGGCAGGCGCTGGGAGCGAGCAACGGGAGCGCACCCCGCCGCGGGGATTCGAACTGCCGACCTCAGTCCTAGGCACTGAGGCTTTTACCCACAGCACCACCCGCGTTACCACATCTCAATTTTTGCATTACCACATCTCAATTTTTTTGCATTACCACATCTCAATTTTTATGCTTTTTTTTTTTTTTAGATTCTCTGGGAGCTACAACCAAAGAATGGCTAATACAATGCTACCTCGGGTTAAGAACTGAATTCGTTCTGGAGGTCTGTTCTTAACCTGAAACTGTTCTTAACCTGAAGCACCACTTTAGCTAATGGGGCCTCCCGCTGCCGCCGCACAATTTTTGTTCTCATCCTGAAGCAAAGTTCTTAACCCGAGGTACTATTTCTGGGTTAATGGAGTCAGTAACCTGAAGCGTCTGTAACCCGAGGTACCACTGTATATGTTTTAAACATATAAATAAATAGTCCTTAAGGGAGCTGAAAGTGGGTGGAAAGAATTACAGCTTCCCATGTTTAATTTGCCTCACTTATAACACTTTCATACAGATGTTCCAAGTTTTGTAATCAACACAAAACCTGTAAAACCTATTTGTTGAGTTGAAAGTTAAATGTATAAACAACCAACAAACCATAATTCATTTCCAAATCACCAACTCTAAAAACACTAGCATCCATCTGTCACCAGCCTTAGCCACAACAGATTTCTGAAAATTCATTTGTTTAACTTGTATCTGTTTCCCTTCACACAACAGGAGATAAAGAATATTTAACGAATTAATAGATTATTTTTTAACAGTATCCAGCTCCTTCTTGTCATCTATCTTCAATTGCCAGTTTAGTTTACAGTGGTACCTCTGGCTACGTACTTAATTTGTTCAGGAGGTCCATTCTTAACATGAAACTGTTCTTAACCTGAGTTACCACTTTAGCCAATGGCACCTGCCGCTGCTGCTGCGCTACTGCCGTGCAATTTCTGTTCTCATCATGAAGCAAAGTTCTTAACCCAAGGTACTATTTCTGGGTTAGCGGAGTCTGTAACCTCAAGCATCTGTAACCTGAAGTGTATGTAACCCAAGGTACCACTGTACTTATACAGTCATACCTCGGGTTGAAGTAGCTTCGGAATAAGTATTTACGGGTTGCGCGCTGCGGCGACCCAAAAGTAACGGAGCGTGTTACTTCCAGGTTTTGCTGCTTGCGCATGCGCAGACGGTCAAAATGATGTCACGCGCATGTACGGAAGCGGCGAATCGCGACCTGCGGGTTGCGTTCGCTTCTGGATGCGAACCGGGCTCCGGAACGGATCCCATTCGCATCCCAAAGTACCACTGTAAAATGTGTTGGCTGATTTTCCACCCAAAGGTGCACAAAGACAATACATATCCATATGCTATCTCCTGAGCAGATGAAGTTTTGTGGCACATCCTGTTCTACATTCTGTCTCTTTAATGTTATTGTTGTTTATTAAATTTGTATACCTCCCATCATCCATAGATCTCAGGGCGGTACACAACATAAAACAAGATACAGAGGATTGCTTCATGGGATCAGTAGGAAACTTAGTAACAGTGCTCTCTGAAATCCCCCTCCCAAGTCAGACACAGCTTGTCTTTAAGAAGGGATAGCATTTTTGAAAATTTTAGAAGGATTGTGGTGACATATATAACACAAATCTTAAATACTGTGAAAGAAAGGAAAAGCAAACAGAAGAAAGCTCTTATGAACTGATGCACTGTTACCTCCATCATATCCATCAAAAATTAAGAATCAGTTGTGTCTGGAATTCAGAATGCATCAGCTTTATTGCATTTCTTCAAGAAAACATTTGACCTTCTGTACCTGGTAAGGTGTAATAGGCATCCATTCTGTAAGCGCTATAAAATCCTCTTCTTTATCCAAATGCGAGAATCCAGTCTTTGTAGGCTGTAATGATATTTGCTGGATAAATTTAAAGTAAAAAAAACATCTAAGGCAATGCTTACTTGAGAGTATGTCTCATTGTCACGTCCTTCTGACTTAAGAGTGAGCAGGAAAGGTCTCACAGCGATAGGCTGATGAGCTTTAAGTTCCAAGGGATTTCCCAGTTTCCTCAAAACAAGTGTGTTTCTTTAAAAAGGGTGAGAGCCAATGGAATGCAAGTGTCTGCTCACACAAGGGGGTTTCTCTTTCCTTTCATCCCTCCTGAACCTTCCCAACCCCCTCAAACGTTCCTCTAGCATGCAAGTGGGCTAGATGCAGAAGAGAAACTGAAAATCAAGTTGCACAAGCCGATTTCCATTGAACAAATGGACATATTGTATATCACCGCATGTTGCCCCAAGAGTATAAACTGAGTTTCAGTCATTAAAAAGATGATTTAATTGGCTTGGAAAAAATGCCAATATTTTTCACCTTCACAGGACAACCAAGCACTGAGGAAAATAAAGTGAGGGTTGGGAGTAGGAATTTTAAAAAAATCAGACTAGAAAAATTGTCTTTCCACTAGGGAGGGAAATGTCGGCGCGCCATTCCTTGGTGTGTGGAGTGCCGCAGGGCGCAATTCTTTCCCTGGTGCTTTTTAACATCTTTATGCGCCCCCTTGCCCAGATTATCCGGAGCTTTGGGCTGGGCTGTCACCAGTATGCTGATGACACTCGGCTCTATCTACTGATGGATGGCCACACCGACTCGGCCCCGAACACACTGACCAGATGCTTGGAAGCTGTGGCTGGATGGTTTCGTGGGAGCCGATTGAAACTAAATCCTTCAAAGACAGAGGTCCTATGGCTGGGTCGGGATGGCATGGGGATGAGGGACCAACTCCCTTCTCTTGCGGGGGCCCAATTAGTGCCATTGCCTTCCGTTAAGAGTTTGGGTGTAATCCTTGACGCCTCCCTTTCCATGGAGGCGCAAGTTACAGCAACAGCCAAGGCGACATTTTTCCACCTTTGCCGCATCAAGCAGTTGGTCCCTTACCTTTCCCGCCCCGACCTGGCCACAGTGATCCATGCGATGGTCATCTCCAGGCTTGACTACTGCAATTCGCTCTACGCGGGGCTGCCCTTGAAGCTGACCCAGAAACTCCAGAGGGTGCAGAAAGCTGCAGCGAGGCTCCTCATGGGGTCTCTGCCATGGGAGCATATTCACCCAGTGCTTTTCAAACTGCACTGGCTCCCGGTAGAGTTCAGGGTCAGATTTAAGGTGCTGCTTTTGACCTTTAAAGCCCTTCACGGCCTAGGACCCTCAGGACCGCCTCTCCCGGTATGCCCCACGGAGAGCCTCAAGGTCCATAAATAACAACACCCTAGTGGTCCCGGGCCCTAAGGAAGTTAGATTGGCTTCAACCAGAGCCAGGGCCTTTTCAACTCTGGCTCCAGCCTGATGGAACGCTCTGCCTCATGAGACCAGGGCCCTGCAGGATCTGATTTCTTTCCGCAGGGCCTGTAAGACAGAGTTGTTCCGCCTGGCCTTTGGCTTGGAGCCAATTTGATTCCATCCCTCTCTTTCTTTTTTCCTTTCCTTCTCCTCCTGTGATGAGGCTACATTTTAATATTTTAATGTTTCAATATTTTAATGTTGTATTTTAATTTTGTTTTTTAATTTTTAATTTGTTTTTGTTTTTTGTTTTTGTTTAATTTTAATTTTGTTGTAATCATTCAACTTGTTTTTATTATTGCTTGTAAGCCACTCTGAGCCCGGCCTTGGCTGGGGAGGGCAGGGTATAAATAAAAAATTGTTATTATTATTATTAAATCAGATGCTTAAAAAAAATCAGACTATCTGTTTTTTAAAAATCATACTATATGCTTGGAGATATTGTGTGTGTGCATCTCACGTGGCACAGCCCTTACTACTTTATGCTCACAAGATACAGAAAGCCCCAGTTGACACAGGGTAAGTAGAGCCCCTTAAGTTAATAAGTTTATTAAAATAAACAGTGAGACAGCTCAGAATAGTAAGGGCGCAGTAAGGGCATTGTGTGCTAAGACCCAAATCTAGAAAAAACTTTTAACTCAGGAGCTAAATTCTACAAGTAGAAAGTCTTTAGAAAAGCTCTCAGGAGAGGGAAGTGCTCACATGCCCATGTGCTGCTTGCAGGTTTCCCACAGACATCTGACTGGCCAGATCCAGCAATCTTATGTTCGTATGACATGGGAATTTCATGGTGTCTCCTACATTTTCATGTATCACATTAAATTTATTTTGAAATATTCAGTGTTGTTGTTTGAAAGTACTTAAGATGCTATACTTTGAACTGCATATGCATAAGCACTACTACTTGTTATGTCCAAGTTGCACAGGTCAACTGGATCGAGGAGGAGTTTAGAGCAAGAGGGGAATGAGTTTATCCCCACTGCATGTTGAGTATATGTGACACATGAATTTGGCTAATTTTTAAAAGCAAAATCTAAATATAGAGGCAGAATTCGAGCAATTATGTAGTTCTTTACTAAATCAACCCAATACCCAATTATCCAGGTTGCACACTGAGAACTGTTGTGTCACAAAGGTTCGTACACATTGCTGTCCTCTTCTCAAGTCTTAGATACATTAAAGTCAGGTTACTAAAATATCGACCTTTTTTGCTTGGGCATATCTACGATATCGATGCCGGGCTTTTGGACAGCAAACTTTTATAAGCCAGTCTTCTCCTGAGCTGTCACTATCTAAAGATGTTGCTGAATCAGTCTAGAAAAAACAACAAGCAAACACATTAAAGTAAGCATAAACAATGAAAACTTTCTGCATAGATGGCTTTCCCCACCCTACCGCAACCAACCAACTAGAACTGCCATTTGTAGAAATGCCAGTGTGTTTAGAAGCCTATAAAGAATGTTCTTTATAAAGTTCAGGTTCTTCTCAGATGTCAACTGCTAAAAGTAATGGGGGAATCCTCATAACTAAATAATCAGGTGTGATCCCTACCTCTTCCTGAACTGCCCATTCTAGAACAGGGATGGGGAACCTGTGGCCCTCCAAAGAGTTGCTGGGACTACATGTCTCACCACTGGCTATGCTGATGAGGCCTGCTGGGAACTGAAGGCCATGAAGATCTGGAGGGCCAAAGGTTCTCCATCCATGTTTAGAACAGTATCATTTATAGAGGGAAATGAAGGTTGGAGTTGGATTGGGAACAGACGACTACCTCAGTGCTTAAGGTGGCCCAAACATACCTAACATACTTAAGCTGCAGGATACATGCACCACTTGGAGAAAATCTGCTGTCTACTTCATGGGGGGGGGGGGACTCTTTGCATATTCATGTTATCACTAACAGGGTATTTATAACAAGAATTATGATTTTGCAGCTTCTGATGTTTTATTGTTTATTATTACATTACATTTTTGTGCTTGTAATTGTGTGTTTTTTCATATGGTTTTAACTACTGAAAGGCGGCTAAGGAATAAAACGATGAATGGATGGGTGTAAATGCAGACAGTTTAGATTATCTGTGCAATTATGAGATTTCCCCCCCCCCCCAGGTTTAAGATTGAAGCTCGTTGTTTGCCCTCTGTGGTTTTAAGCACACATGTAAATATTTTGCCCAAGCTATGTAGTTTTATGGTTCTGGGACTCTTAGCCCCGAGTTTAAACTTTTATGGCAGTGGTTTCCTCAACCTGCCTTGCCTTGTAGAGACAAAGGAAGGTCTTATCCCAAAGATGCTTCATGTGGTTAAAATCTGCAAGAGACAGAAGGTGAGTACACACCCCCCCATGAAACATCAGGTGATGCTGTACCTTTTATGAACTTCAGATACTTGCTTAGACATGCTTTTAGTAGCAATGTTTACTCGTTTTTGGAAGCCAGCAAGTTGCCCAGGAAGCCAACTACACAACTTCAGATGAAATGTGCAATGTGTAGTGCCTTATATATTGCCATTTATTTTAAATCAGGATTGGTTTAAACCTAAATGGGGCTTATGTTATCTTGCCAGTGGTGTTTTAAGTATTACACGTGGATTTTATTATAGATTTTGTGTGGAAGCATAACTGTAATTCTGCTTTCAGCTGGTTATGGATGAGCAATGCCTCAGCAGTGCTAAAGAATCCTAGTGCTCAAATGACCTACGGTAAATCTAGTTTGCATTTTGAAAACTGAAGGGATGGTTCTGGCTGTGGCTGCAGCTGCTGTGTGTGACAGACAGCAGAGCCAGGCTCAGAAATTCCAAGAGAGGGCTGAAGCCTCTCTCTGATTGGCTACCCAGCCAGCCAGCCAGAAGGGGTGGAGCCAGCCCTTTTGGAGGGAAAAGAAACAGGGCTGCTTCTGGGGGAGCGTTAGGGTTGGCTTTGAGGGGTCAGGCAAGGTTCAGGCTGAGAAATAGGGCTTGGTTGGGATGAGGAGAGGATTTACTGAGGGAGAACTGGCTCTGATCCAAGTGGCACATCCGCTCGCTGGGAGGAGACTCTCTCTAGCCAGAGGAAGGAGCCTCACAGCTTGGCTAGGAAGAGCGGGTGGAGGGTCTGGGGAAAGTCTTCTGACAGGAACTAACTGGAGGGCTGAGTCTGAGCCAGGAGAGGGAGAAGAAGATGGGGGAAGACAGAGGAAAGCGGGGTCTCCTTCCAGGCGGGAGGGGAGAGATCTTCTAGGCCAGAGCTTTCCAGACTTTTCATCTTGATGACCCACTTGTCAGAGAGGCCTCGTTTTGGGACACACTACTTCCGATTTACTAGCAAACGGGAAGCTAAGCAAAGCCCTTTCTAGCCCCGGAAGGAGCGCAGGGAGCATTGCTCTCTTCTTGGCAAAGAAGACCCCTAAGCCAGGAACAAGGGGGAGGGGACCCCCTGGGTCTGTTGTACTACTTGAAAATACCTCAGTCGTGGGATTGCTAAGAGAGGGGAACTGAGGGAAAGCGCCCCTCACTTATTAACCAGGGTATTCAATTGGGAAACACTGGCCAGTGAGCACTCCAGTTGGAGAACAGCCTTGACCAAAGGTGTCATAGACTTTGAAGACACTCGAACTCAGGACGCAAGGGAGAAACGTGCTAAGAGGAAGGCACGCTTGGCAAATCCTCACCGTGACCAACTCCCGTCCGGAAACCAATGTCCCCACTGTGGAAGGACATGTGGATCCAGAATTGGCCTCCACAGTCACTTATGGACTCACTGTTAAAACCGTGTTCATGGAAGACAATCTTACTCGGCTAAAGAAGATTGCCAAAGAAGCAGCGGCAGCAGCAGCTGTGTCAAAAGTATTTAACTGTAATACCTATAACAGCTAAGTAAAGAAAGTAGCAGAAACTGAGTTAAGCATTTTACCACCTATTCAAGAACCTTGAACATCTACCTGAAGTGTAACAACTGATTTTTAGCATCCGAAGTTTAAGAAAAACTGTGTGTTGAAGCCTGCAATATCCTTATATTTAGTTTAAGTGATGTTGACTTCTACCTGAAAGAACACATCTCACAACCCAACTTTGTTTCACAAACTACTTCTTTTTGTAACTAAAACTTTTATTGCTTGATCAACTCCTACCTAAGACTCTAAATCACACAAGACTTGTGGTAAATTGTAGACTTTCATTTAATTGGCATACTGTGAGGTGCATCCACTATATTTAATTGGGGGCAGTAAAAGGAGTAAATCTACATATTAATTGGGAAATATATATAAAAATGTCCAGTAGCACTTGAGAGACTAAGTTTGTTCTTGGAATAAGCTTTCGTGTGCATGCACACTTCTTCAGATATTAATTGGGAGTTAACGGTGAGATCTGCTACATGTAAGCCAGAAAGTCAGCCGGCAGCTTTTTTGCTCCGTTTGACATCTTTATCTGCTGCCGCCCAGAAGAGCCTTCAAAGAATTGGACCCGTTACCAGGCGGCAGAATCCCAGGCGCGCTTGGACTACAGCGCCCATCACGCTCAGCTGCTTAGAGCGCCGGTGCTGCTAACGCCAAGGCTGCCGGTTGGATCCCGGGACAGCCGCCTCTTCGTGCCTTGCAGGGGATCGGCCCAGATGCCTCCCAGGGTCCCTTTCCAACTCCACCGTTCTAAGGCCCTGCGCCCTCTGGGGAACCGCTTCCCGAGGCGGAGAAGGGCTGGTCCGCAGGGGGGGGGGTCCCTCTGGCTGCCGCCACTCACTCGGTCGGGGAGGCCCGGAGGAGGATGGTGCTCTTTGGGCGTGGATGTCATTGGCCCCCGCTGCCCTCCGGCGGCCTCGCTGCCCTCCGGGGCCTCCATGCCCGCCGGGGTCGGGCGCGGCCTCGCCCAGCGCAGCCCGCCGGGGTCGGAAGCGTCCTCGCCGCTGGCCGGCGGAGGGGCGAGGAGGGACGCAGCGCGCCGGCCTGGGGGCGTCCCTCCGCCGGGGGAAAAGAGTCCCTCGGCTTCTCCTTCCCGGAGCTCCCTACGGAGTTCCGCTGCTCCCGAGGAGTGGTTGCCTCTTACCGGGCTGGGAACGGGGCTTCGGTTGGAAACACACGCGAGTCCCACCAGCCCCAAGAAGAAAACGGCACGTCGCCTTGCTGTATTCATCCGCGGAAGGCGGCAAAGGTGCCCGAAGCCCCGCTCGTAGCCATGGCGATTCGGGGCGAGAAAGGAGCTCCAATCAAAAGGGAGCGCGCTGCCCGAGGAGCCAATCGCTGGCCTCCGCCATTCATCCGCTGAAGAGGCTCGTGGTTGCAACGATTGGCTTCGGGGAGACGACGGGGCGGGCTGGTGCGCCTGAGCATGTGCAGAGAGCCAGCCCCTCCCCAAGCGCCTCCCTGGCAGCAAGGATGTGGGGACGAGCCACTTGATAACTAGTTATAAATTATCTGGGGAACCCAGAATTTCCATAACAGTGGAGACGCCCAGAGGACATGTGCGGTCTAGCTGCACACATTCCATGCTATAACCAATTCACCTGAGACAGCGAGAGCGCAGATAAAGTGACCTAGGGGGGGGCATTTGCTGATGTGTGGCACTTTATCCAGCTTAACATGCCTCTCCTGTCTGTTGGAGCTATTACATGTGCTGCTGAAGCAAGGTTGCATTTTCCATACTCTGCAAGTGGTCCGATTTTCCAGGGACAGTCCCAGAATTACGAAAGCAACGCCAGCTTCTGATCTGATCTCGGAATGTCCCTATCCCCCACCCGCACCCCCCTCCGTGCTGCTGCTGCTGCTGCTGCTGCGGATTTCAGGGAGGAAAATGAGCCGGTGCTTGTTCTGAGTGGTGACTGCGACTGGCGGCTGCGAGGGAGCATCCCATTGCTTCTCCATGGCCATCGCTGCCAGCCTCCTCCCTTGGGCAGCTGCTGGAGAGCGGGTGAGGAAGACGAGAGGCGGCTGCTTCGCATGCCCAGCCTTTCAGGAGGCACTGGCCCGGCACTGGTGCAGGCAGAGGGCAGGGCCGCCCAGAGTGGGAAGAATGGGGGAACAGAGCACAAGGAGTCTTGCTTTTTCATACAGAAATGTGTCTAATCTTGCCCCTTTCTATAATTTACCAGTGTATGTTTTTCTTTTGTAAATCTACCAAATAATAAATTAAAATCGGGATTAAGGGGTTTTCTCAGACAGCGGAGGATGTATGTGCTGTGTCCTGTTGGTGTAGGGATGGTGGCACGTGCTGTGAGGGGGGGAAGGCAACAAATGGGGTAAAGGAGGATCAGTTGGGAGGAGTGAGAAATGTCCCTATTTTTATCTGAGGAATGTTGGAGGGTACACGTTTTCAATGGTAAATCTTTGTACATGAATGTTTTTACTTTACTTTCATTTTACTTTGCGGCCCAACTAATTAACAGCAGTTTATACCACATATGCAAATGACAGTTTTGTCTTTTCAATGTATTATATATGCAAGTAATTGTAATACTTGGCATGTTGTAGGACATTTTTGCAAGTTCAGAACACTTCACATGCATTACCTCAGTAATTCTTCCACCAACTTGGCATAGGTCAGTATTACTTCCGTACTGCAGGAAAAGGACGGGGTAACACTTTGGGGTTACATTTTAGTTGCTGATGCTAAAGTACAAAGTAAGTGCAAACACTATAGGTGGCATTTAGACCTAACAGCAAACATTTACCATTATGAGCAGAGCAGCCTTGAGCTTGCAGATTTCCTCTTCCTCATGGGTAAGTAGACACTTCAGCTGGTTTACTATTCTCTTCCAAACCATGCTTATAATGGCAAGCAATGGTGATGTGAGTGGGCTAACTCTTCCTGTACCCCCTTTTCTTCAGATATACCCTCAAATCACACACACACACAACCCCAGCTTTACCCTTCACCAGCACATACATTCACTGAACATAAATGGAGAGAAAGTTTGGTGTACAAGTACATTGTTAAACACATATCATTTAAATTCTCCTGATAGCTTAAAATGAAAGAATGATGCCTTCGCAACACTAAGAAATTCTGTGGAATCAGCCAAAGTAGGGATTTCTGCATTCTTGGGGGACTCCCCAAATATGCAGAAAGATACTTGTTTATTAATCAAACCAAACCTCATGAGGATTGAACACGCTCACTAAACTCCAGGAGGTATGCAGTGTTGAAGTATTGACTTCCAAAGCTAAGAGTCTTTAAAACACCATCCACAGCAGGGAGGGAGAGGAAAATGTGCTCTGGACCCCATACTCTTACAATTGGTACTTTGGTTCTTGAACGCCTTGGTACTCGTACGTTTTGGCTCCTGAACGCCAAAAACCCGGAAGTGTTCCGGTTTTCAAATGTTCTTTGGAAGCCAAACGTCTGACACTGCTTCCGCTTGAGTGCAAGAAGCTCCTGCAGCCAATTGAAAACTGTGCCTTGGTTTTCGAACGTTTTCAGAAGTCGAATGGACTTCTGGAATGGATTATGTTCAAGTACCAAGGTACGACTACTTGGGGCTAGATGGGAAAATGTTATTTCACCTAGCCCCAACCCTCAGCAGATAATGCTATTGGAACTTACAATATATTGCTAAACTGATTAGGTTCAGGGCAAGCAGCTTCCATTCACCTTGCACCAAATCTCAGCTTCAAGGGCAGATTAGAAAACAACTCCAATTCCCATGATCGTCACCCTTGTAGGGCAGTGCTTTTTTTTCAGGGGGCACTCAAGGGTACCCAGTACTGGCACATTGTTTGTTGTTAAAAAGTGTGGCACTTGCTGTAATGACTTCATGGTGAGTACGGGCACCTATTTTTTCTAGGGAAAAAGCACTGCTGTAGGGCCCCAGTCTATATCCTTGTGTAAGCTAAGTACTTCAGAGAGAGTATGGCCTTAAACTTGTGCCTGGTAACTAACAAGAGGTGTTAAGGAATAGTTTGTGCATTCATGTGACACTCACAGAGTGGTTCGCTTGCAGTGATCATCCATAGTTAATAGGTCAATGCTTCTAACGGACTCTGACTCCTCTATCAGTGTAGCTAGCTTATAGCCAGAAAAATGCTGGAGAAATCCTGCATTTACAGTAAGTGAGCATTGTGTCAAAATATAAAGACAAATGGCCTAATACATTTTAAAGTATTTGCTTTATGTCATATATCAAATCTCTTGTTACCTGGTACAGATCAGCAAAGAGTTCCTTTTAAGCAGTAATGGGAAGAAAATTTTCAGCAGCTGAAGCTTTGCCTGTTATTGATGCTTTGTCAGAGAAGTTACATTTCACAACATCCTGCTTTGGGGGCAAAGGGCATTTTATAGTCTGTGCTTTAGCAGCAAACACCCTTTAATTGGCTGTCAGATAGAGTTACTCAGGAAAAAACCAGCAGTTACACTGGAATGTTTATTGCCCTCATGGAAAGCTGGGTGTGTTCTCTTCTCTCCTCCATTCTCAAGTCAAGGCTTTCTCCTCCCATTCATTATGTTCCGTGCATGGCTGGCCCAAGACATGTTTCTGCCTGAGGCAAAGAAGATGGCACCTCTGCATTCCACATGCAGAAGCTGACAGAACAGCAAATTGACACTGGAGGGACCCTCTGGGTACCAAACTGTATGGGAAACAGCCTTACTAGAAAAGCTAACCAACAAATTGAAATTAGCACGAGGACAAACAAGAGAGGATGCCTTCCACCCTGGAGTGGCTCCCTTTTATTACATATACAGCCCAAGGAGACAACAACATCACCTCTCCCCTCCTGCCCCATCAGCATACAAATCAACATGGCTAACTTGACCCAACAACCCCTAGCCACCTGTTACAGCTAAAATCTGGGTGCGGGGCTACTCTGCCACCCAGCTCGTCGGACTAAGTCCGCGGGTCCCTGTGGAAGAAAATGAGCTCAGCCGGGCACAGCAGCAAACTGCAGAAGATCCAAGTTTATTGCGCAACAGGTTCAAGACGAGATTGAACAGCGAGAAAGGGGTGACATGAACTTTTGAAACTCCCTCCAAGTCCCAGAATACAGTGCAAAATACATCCCAGTTACATCATGAATACATTAAGAAGAGGTTGGGTTACACAGATTACATCATGAATACATTAAGAAGAGAAAAATTCCTTCCAGTAGCACCTTAAAGACCAACTAAGTTAGTTCTTGGTATGAGCTTTCGTTTTTGGTATCTGAAGAAGTGTGTTCGTTTTTGGTATCTGAAGAAGTGTGCATGCACACGAAAGCTCATACCAAGAACTAACTTAGTTGGTCTTTAAGGTGCTACTGGAAGGAATTTTTTTTGTTTTGACTATGGCAGACCAACACGGCTACCTATCTGTAACATTAAGAAGAGGTTAGGTTACACAGGATTAACATATGGAGGAGGGAGGGGGGAATATGCAGAGCTGGAGATATGCGCAGATAAGCACATCCTGATTACTGGTGATGAGAAGACAATGGTCCATGTATGCATGGTCTGACACCTGGCATTGCCCGGAGGAAAGGCTTGGCAGAGTGATTTGACAGGATTAGGGTCTTTACACCTTGCTTGAGGGATTATGGAGGACAGGGGAGGTGTCATGGAGTCCTAGAGAAATTGAGCAAATTGCCACGTTGATTTTCTATGGATTTTTTGGTTTTAGTCCCTTTTGACATTGACAATTGGGAATAAATGGATATATTGTAGCGAAGAAGAAGGTGAAGAAGACATGCCCCCCCCTTCCGTAACACCACCCAAGCCATGAACAAAACTCACTGCGAACAACCATGCCCTGGCCTCCCCAACAGTGTTTGATACTCCCATTGTTCCAGTCACATTTTGCCACTGGCAACCCCACATCTTTCTCCCCCCAATCTGACAGTGTCTATGATAGCAACATCTCACACCAAATGTAATTGACCTGTGGATAGGACTCTATGAACTGAAAACAGAGACGTTATATGTACGTTTGTTATCAATGACAATCTTTCACAAAAAACAAATTTAAAAAGCACGCATCACAGGATAACATCCTTCACTGCACTTTAAGACAACATGTGGGCTTAGGGAGTGTGGGCATCTCCATCCAGAGATCAAAGATTACAGATTTCAGTTTCTTTCCTAACCAGAAAATCTACGTGAAGTATAATCCTGATTACTGCAATGCTGTGATACAAGATGATTGCTAAATATGGAAATTGCAAATGAAATGTCTGGGTGCACTTATTTCGGATCAACCATTCAGACCATGATGCCCTTGTTCTCTGTGAGGATAAGTATACTTCTCTGGATTTACCTTGCAATAGGTCCAGTAGCATGTGGTAAAAGCAAATAAATATAGTAGATAGAAAAGTTTTTTCATTGGATGTGATAAAATTGGGTATCTGGTTATTGTAAGTTAATGAAGTACGTAATTTAGACAAAGTTCCATATTTACCATTCAAATATCCAGTATTAGAAATCCAACAAATAGGGTATATTGAGAGCAAAAATATGTGTGCTGCTATTGTAATAATTCTTAGCCTTGTTAATTTCACACTCAGCTTAAAAGATCTTCATTATTCATTTCCGTTTGTGCCCTTGGATTGGCTGTGATATAGTGGTGCCTTGTTGTGTTTGGCACATACTAATGGAAAAGGTGTCTGGCTGCCTTTTTCTTTCAAAACTATAACATTCAATTTTTTCTTCAGCCGAGACGGTCCTAGTGCTTATTAAACGAAATCCTTCTTTGAGTAATAAGTCAACCAGCAGGCCCAGCACATTAGTTCCATTAATCAATTTCCTCTGATCAGGTTTTATAGAAACATATCTGGAAAAAACCATGAAAAAATGTTAGTGCCAGCATGTACCAGATAGTATACATCTACACTTGGTATTTTGCCTGCTACCAGTGCAATAAAAATGATCAGTAGCAGTCTTGCCTTAGTTATTGCACATGCCTGAATATAAACTAGAAATTGATTAAAGCAGACAGCTGAGGTATAAGGTATATGATGAATGTAGTAGAATTAGAGTTGGAGCAGGAAGAACCTATTTGTATGAAGCAGCGTTTAAAAGAGATTGTCTGAAAAAGGTACAAAAACTTGTCAGAGTTGAATGAGAGTACATATGCTATTTGTATTGTGTTAGCTTTGAAATTAAGAAAAATACCTTGCTATAAACTGATCACTGTAGTCAGTGCCACACTGGAAAATGACATCATGATGGGAAGGCCTCTCCAAAGAAAGGGGAATCAACGACTTCTGTGAGGGGTCATTATGGCTTTTCCAAGTTGTTCCAACAAGCTTTTCTGAAAATACAGTGATTCTTCCAGCCAGTTCACCAATAGTGATGCTACAAGAGCCAAATACCCGGAAAAAAGCTTGCATTTCTTGGAGCAAGAATCGTATTTCCAAGATCTCTAGTTTTGGTTTCAACAAACTTTCTGGACTCAGAAGGTCAGCCAGAGAGTAAATTTCATAGAAATCAGCCTCTCTCTGCAGCCTCTGGTAGTCTGAGAAGTCACTCGGCAGAGAAAGCTGTCGTGTTCTTAGGAAGTCCAGGATATAGCTGAACAGAACTCCATCACGGTCTATAAAGAACTGGCCATTCACCAACCTACATTCTAAGTCATTGCCACCCAACATCCTTGCCAATCTAGATTCAGGGAATTGCTGTAGCGTAGAACGCCATGTTGTGAATTTCACTCCTCCCACATTCAAAATGCTCACATCTTGATTGTTCATTTTTCTCTTCTCCACAGGAAAAGTGTCTTCTAGCAGTGTCTCCAAACTACATACGTAGAGGCAAAGAGCAAATCCTGTCCTGTGTTATGGGAGAAAAAGGCTGAGCAGACAGGATTCCCCAGCTACAACGCTGAAGTGTATAGTTTTGTTTACAAGGCTGGGTTGGTTGCTTGGGAACCAAAATACTGCAACTGAAATAAAGCATCATTTTAAAAAACCATGTTGAAAGTCAACCAGTGAGATCCTGACTGGCCAGAATAGCATCCAGTTTAGGACAGATCATGACCTACTTCCTTCACCCACAACAACAATCTACCCAAATGAGCTGCCTATCTGTGAGGCATATATTCACAAATGCTACTATAGCTCAGTTTTGTGAACAAGGAGCTACCGTACATAGGCCTGTCCTGAAAGCAAACAGATTTGTAAATTCCTATATTGGGCTACAATCCTAACCCTTTACCTGGGAGTAAAGACTTACTTCTAAGTAGACATGGTGGATATTTCACTTTGGGGACAGAGGCTGATCTTAGGATCAAGTTCAACATTTTTGTTAGATAAGCAGCAATTTGGTATTGGAGTTCTCAAAGAACTCTCGGGTCACCCTAAAGGATACCAATATGCCAAACCCAATATGTGTGTGGTTAGGGGAGTAGTAGTACCTCTGGTGGGGGACATATCATGTTCATTTGAGGGCAGTTTGTCCACCTCTGGGCCCCACCCTGCACTCAGCTTACTCGCAGCTCCTAGCTGTCAGCATGGGACAGTGGCCACAACTCAGGAAATTCCTTCAACTTGCCAGCTAATCCAGGTGGGGGTAGCCAATTGGTCTCAAAATCCTTTGTGGATTAGGGACTTCCCTTGCATGTGAAGATGGGCTCCAGTGGGTTAAGCAGACAGGAATAATAGTGGGTCCAACAGTCAAGGTGGTTTCTGCACGTGTTGTAGAGGCAAGTGAGGGGCAGATGAGGCTCATCAGTCTGGGAAGGGAGCCCATGTACTCATCTAGCAGGACAACACTCTGATCCTAACCATCTGCTGCCTTGTAGGATATCTTTGGGAGAATAAGCTAAGCAGTAAACCCTACGAAATGTGGAGAGGACTCCTACGATGGCTTCTTGTATGCCTCCTTCCACAACTCCTGCAGCCAGGCTGATGCCAAACAGTGCTCTGCTTTCCTTTGGACCCCATCAGTGAGGCAGAGGGTGGGTGGGTCTGGACAGCCCAGGACCTCCAGACCCCTGCTATGCTGGCAATCGGCCCAACACCCAAGTGACAGTAATGAGTCTGACTCAGAAACAAATGGATCCCAAGCTGGCTCAGTGTCTCCCAGAATGCCCCATTTTGGAGCTTCCCATCAGTGGTATTTTTACTGTACTTTCCAACTAAGGATTTATGTACCTTATAGGACAGAGCTGTTTTGAAATTTATATAGTACTTTATATGACAGAGCTGTTTTGAACAGGGCAGAGGAAGACTTTCCCTCCATCGAAACCTCTGGAACAGTGTTTGGACAGCAGGCTAAGATGGCCTGATCAGCACCAGCAGCCTTTTTTCTTCCTCCTTTTAACATCCATCCTGAAGTTTTCTCAGGAATTCAAAAGATTGCACACCACTTTATAACAATTTGGTTGGCCTAATTTATTTCCCTAATATGAATTTAGATTATATATTTTGGGTGGGATTCACCTAAACAGACCTGTCAGCAGAATCCCTGGATAAGGACTTCCACAACAGGGCTTACCCCCTCTTCTGCCCCTGGTACTCCCTGAAATTGGCTTGGCAGCATGAGATAACCCCCAGAACAGCACATGCAGGGGAAGGGGTTACTGCTCTGCCTGGCAAGCTGGAGTATTTGCACGGAATGAACTGGAAAAGTGTGAAGTTGAATTCCACCCTTTTGGATCAACACAGCTACCTTTAAAGCCAGTGAGACTTACTTTCAAGACAGGGTATATTTAGGATCAGCGTCTAACCAGAAACAGTTTTTTTAGAAGTTAATAGTATGTATTTGTTCTTTCACATGTACATCCACATCAGGAATTGTTTTGCAATGTGCCATACTTCTGAAGTTTGGTACATCAGTGGTTATTACTTATATACTTGACCTCACAACCTATTACACATTTTCTCCCCATGTGTCCTTCTTAACGTTGAAAGTCAACAGCAATGCACACACCGTATTTCATGAATTTTTTTACATAATCTGCAATGCCTATTGATTCATACTGTACACACAACTGATGCCTTTCACCTTGGGGAAAACAAGATAAATTGGCACTTTTTACCTAAGTAGGTATCTCCTTTCAAATTCAATGTGCAAAGTACCGTATTTCCAAGTATCAGTAGTTGGACCATAGAAAAATGACATCAATGATTGCTTAATCACTTTTTAAGAAGCTTTCAAAGTAATCAGTTTGAACATACTTTTCTTATTATACAATTGTAGAAGTTACAAAATTTTGTATTTACACATAAATTGGGCAATATTATCCAACATCACAAGGGTGTAATTTACACATTTTTCACTCAGAATGGCAGCACCACCAGTCATCTTCTCCCAGTAGATGATAGCATGATCTGCCATCTCTGCTGTGTCTGCCAGATAACCTGTGCCAAATGCAGATATAAGTATTTTCCAGTGCTGGAGAGTGTTAGATAGAAAGTCCATAAAAAACATCTGTGTGGCAGCAAGTATAAGGAAGGAAAGCAAAACAATCACAATAAACTTATGTAAGGACAATGAAGAAAATGCCCAGTTAAAAGTACTTTTTTCCTGAGGTAAAGAAAGTTTGTCCACATCTGCAAGCTTAAATTGTTCCCACTGGCTTGTATCAAATCCTTTCATTGTGGAATTGATGTTGACAGTAAGACAAGGCAATTTGGTTTCCTTGATCACTTTGATTTTCTCTCGGAATTCCTGCATCTGTTGCAAAAACACAATGGGTTCAGACACCTCTTTAAAGGCTTCGGCAATATTAAAAGCGGTTCGTTGTTCTCGTATAATAGTGTTCAGTTTATTAATTTCTGGATCGTATGCCTGCATGACTGCAAGCTTCATTGTCTCAAAATCTGAAAGTATCTCATTCTTTTTTTGTTCCAGTGTATACTGCAATTTCTCAAAAAAATCTTTTACTCTGTCATAGTCCTTTGTCAGCATCTGGAGGGCTTTGCGCTTGCTGGCTTCCAGGGTGTCTAGCCGAGAAAGTGCATCCCCACAACGCCATGTTTCAAAACCCTGGAACAATGTCTCAAAAGCAAGTTTTTCCTGAAAATAAGCATCTTCAATAGAACAAAACACATGCTTTATATGATCGCCTCGAGTTGCACAGATACCACATATCAACTGTGTGTCTGTTTGGCAGAAAATGTTGAGAGGCTGACCGCTGTGTACTTTACACACAGGCATCTTTGAGGTTACCTTAATCTTGTTATATTTCTCTACAATACCTTTGAGGGAATAGTTGACTTGCAGGTTGTTAACCCCTGTCACAGTGGTTTCCTTTCGACATGTTGGGCATTTGAAGAGAGACTGTCTCCAAATTACATTCCGAGCATTTCCTTCCAAAATCCCTTCCAAACATTTCTTACAGAAGTTATGTGAGCAGGGCAGGGCTCGGGGATCATCAAACAAACTACAACAAATGGGGCATGTAAGATCTTCTTCAAGAAGCTCCATTGCGGTCTGTAATAAAAGGAGAGAATTCAGAGAATTATACTGTATAATGATCACAATCTAAGAAACTCAGGCATCTTGTCTGCCATCCTATGGGTGTATTAAGCCGTTTAAATACTTTATTTCACAAGAGATGTGGATAACAAATTCTACACCTGCTAAAAGTACCCAACTATGCAAAATTCTACATTCTACATTTGCTTTTCACCTCAGAGCTAGGCAGGGCACAACAGGGATGGGGAGGCGCCTGCTTCATGCCCCCAGACTGTGCGCCCCGGGCAACGGGCCCCACGGCAGTCCGTCGTCCCCCCCCCCATTATATGCTGTTGATTCGAGCCCCCCATTGGGCAAAAGATTCCCGCACTGCAGTGGGTTGGACTAGATGACCCCGGGGGTCCTCCCTTCCAGCTTTACACTTGGGCGTTTCACTTTCGGCGCTAGGCGAAAACCTTCCCATATAACCTGTAGCCTTTCCGAAGCGGGTGGGGGTGTTTTTAACGCATTTCTCTGGGGGATTTCTTCTCTTCGTCCTCTGAGCCACATAAAGAGACCCGCACATTCAAGGAATAAAAGTAACCTCGCCGCCCCCCCCCGAATGACCAGGCGGGCCCTGGCGCAAAGGGCGAGGGAGCCGAAGGCCGCGCCGCCGCCTCACGCCCCGTCTCCCTCCGCCGCCCCCCTCGCGCAGCCCCGCCGCTTCTCCGCCCCGCTCGAGTCCCGCTCACCAGCCCGTCGCTCGGGAAGCCGCAGAGCCGCCTCGGCCGCCCCGGAGGCGAGCAGGCCCGTCTCTAGGCTCCTCGCCCGCCCGCCCGCCCGGGCCTGCGCTGCTGCGCCTGCGCACAAGTGCTCCGTCCCTCTGCCCGCCTCAGAGACGCTGGAGCCGCAGCCGAGTCCCCGCCCCGCCCCCGGGGCTTGTGGCACAAAAAACCCGCGGCGACCCCTTAGGATTATTTATTCCATGATCAGTATTAAGTTCACATGCCGCCCTTTCTGCAAGGAAGCCCCTTCGGGGCAGACCGGGAAAGCGGCCTGGAAGGAAACTGCCGCTTAGCGACGCGACAGGCGACGCTCGGCCCCCGGGGGGGGCGCCTGAGGGACGCGGGGCTTCTGTGGGGATTTGGCGCAATACGGGGCTGTTCGGGGGCAGACGCGGGGCTAGAGCCTCGGGAGATGAAGGGCGAGTCGCTTCGTGGGGCCCCGGGGAGTCAGTCGAGAGACGCAGCCCAGCCTTGTGGAGGGGAAGGGCTCCCCGATGTCGCCGGGACTACAGCTCCCATCATCCCCGGCGGCTGGCCCTTGTCGCTGGGGATGATGGGAGTTGCAGTCCCGGCGACGTCGGAGGCCGAGCGGCGGTGTGGGACTCGAGCTCGCGCAGACACGGGGCGGGCGGCGGCGGCGGCGGCGATGCGGAGCCTCTCTCGGCGGGGCCAGCAGCACCGGGCGGGCGCCTAGGCCGGGGCGGCGGCGACGAGGGGCTCCGGCTGCGCTCTGAGCGGAGAAGGCGAGGGCGGGAGAAGCGGCCATGGCGGCCTCGTCGGGCTCTTCGGCGCCCGGCCCCGTGTGGTGCTGCCTGCGCTGGGCCTGCTGCGGAGACGCCGGCGGCGGACATATCGCCCTCAAGGAGATGCCGCTGGTGCAGCTGGACACGCACAGGATGGGTAAGCGGAGGCGGCGGGCGAGGCCCAGTCCGGGGGGAAGGCGGGCTACAAACACAGAGAGCGTGATTAACAAGAGCGACTGCAGCGAGCCTTGGGGCTGAGGCCAGATTTCTCTGCCCCCCGTCAGCCGAAGCCCGACGCTGCCTCCCACACTTCATATTTATCGGCTCTCAGCACAGCCAAGGGATGGTGGGAGCTGTAGAACAACAACATAGCTGAGAAAGGCCGGTAGATTTTAGCAATACTATGTAATGCTAGACTAGAGTGAGTAACCCTTTGAACACCCACCACCACCCCAGAGGGGAGGACACGCGGCCCAGCTGGGGAAATGCTGCTGCTCAACTGCAAAAGGTGCTGGTCTGGGAGAGACAAGGATAATTTCCTCCCATAAATTGTTACCCACCCTGCCGTTTCAGTTGGGAAATAAATTCTTCCTTTTATTTTCCGCCTTCTTCCAAAGCTTAGCAGAAGAGCCGTGGCTACCTTGTTATCTTATTTATTTTATTTTTTATTTCTTTAACTTCTACACTGCCCTTCATCTGTAGATCTCAGGGCAGTTCAAAAGCTTCCACTCGCACTCGTAACATCTGGTCAGAATCCTATTAAAAAATAGGTTTGATTAGCAAGAAAATTAAGTGGATGCCAATAGTTGATTCAGCCTTGACTCCTCTTGCATACCAGGCTGTGTACAGTGGTACCTCGTGTTGCGTAACCTCAAGAGTACGGAATCTTTGGGTTACGGCCGCGGCAAACCCAGAAGTGTATACTGAATCAAATTCTTTGCTGAACTTCAAATAAACTGAATCTACTGCATTTTTCTGGTCTGGAGCACTAAGCATCATCTCATTTCTATTTTCATCCACATCTTTACTTTGTTCTTTGATCTAAGGTAGCAGTAGGGAATCTGTGATTACCCAGGTGGTCATAGAACTGGAAGAAACCACGGGGTCATCTCTAGCTTAACCCCCGGCAATGCAGAAATCTTTTGACCAACTCGAGGCTTGAACCCACAACCCTGAGATTAATACTACAAGTTTGAGAATCTCATAATCCCTGACCACTGACCATGCTGTCTGGGGCTGATGGGAGATCTGATCTGGAGGGCCAGAAATTCCCTATCTCTGACCGTGGCAGGTTTGAGATAATGGGGATAAAACAAAAGGGGTAGTCATTTGAGCATCTATTTTCTCAACTGTGGGGTAGGCAAAGCAAAAATGTACCAGAACTACACAGATCCAAGACACACTTTCTAGATCCTTCTGAAAAAGAAACTAGGAAGGTTGCATAAGGAACAAAAGATGTCAACTGAACTGTAGTGATAATCAAAACGAAAACAAACGGGCACATAACTTCTTTCACTGCCCTGGCAGGTAAGTTTTTGATACTTTCACTCTTGATTTGAAAGATAAAGTAGGAACTCCTGCTTTCCATTACTTCCCCATCCATGTTTTTTTCTAGGGAAACATATTTCACAACCTGGGGACTGCTTCACACTTATTGAATTTCATACTCTGAAGTGATGTCTGTGTGTGCTCCCTTGTGTGACAACTCAAAACACCTCTTTCACAGCATGAACATTAAAACATGATTGCAAATATATGCTTTTTCTACTTTTTATATGTGGTAGGAGCAATCAGGATTCATTCACTGCTGGAGTGTATATATGTTAAATGCTATAAAAAATATAAAAAAATTCCTTCCAGCAGTATCTTAGAGACCAACTAAGTTTGTTATTGGTATGAGCTTTCGTGTGCACATACCAATAACAAACTTAGTTGGTCTCTAAGGTGCTACTGGAAGGGGGGAAAATTATTTTGTTTCAACTACAGCAGACCAGCAGGGCTACCTACCTGTAACTAGAGCTATAAAAAATAATTGTGTAAATGTCATGTGAGTAACCACAGGCCTTCTTCATATCCAGGAGTGTCTGTCCGGCATATCAGGTTTCCATGATCTTGGATTAGGACATAAATGCAGATTATAATAGGACAACTAATTTTTGCCCCCTTCTGTTATAAAACAATGTGAATTGTTGCTGAACAGAGTGAGGAAAATCTAAGGACAAAACTGGAGTTATACTGGGAACTGTTTTTTCTCTATCAAGAGGCGTTCCAGTCTCTTTGGATTTTGAATACTTAACTGGAATGAATTTAGAATAAGCATCAACCTTGTCTTGTTTTGGGAGAGTGCATGGATTTAATTCATAGACTAATGAAACTCCTTAGAATGTTACAGTTTAAAATTAAAGTAATTCAAGGGCACCTGAATTATTTGTCCTGTCTTCACACTTTTTATGATGGAGGACCGCTGTACCCACCCCCAACGACACGTACTCAAGATGGAGGAGGAGGGAACAGCTGCAGTTGCCTGCGGTTCCTGCGCAGTGTTTGCCATCTTGCCAAAGATTGCAGGCAGCTTTACCTGCAGCAATTGCATGTTGATTGCTCTCTTAAAAGACAAAGTCCAGCAACTGGAGGAACGTGTAGCTACACTCCAAAGAATTAGAGAGCTGGAGCTCTTCTTGGAAGCAACAGAGCACACCGTCTCCACCAAGGAGGAGAGAGGGGACACCCCTGAGAAGGAGGCTAGTTCACCAACACAGGAGCCAGATATATGGAGAAACGTGACTCAAAGAAGTAGGAGGCCCAGGGTTCACTCTGATTGTTTAGAAATACACAATCGCTTTGAGGTCCTCTCCCCTAGCATGGAAGACGAAGAGCACACTCCATTTGAGGATCTCTCCCTCATTACAGTCGATCAGGTATATGAAGACGAGCAGCAAAGTCAGTCCTCAGGGAATGTGCAGGCGACCTTGGAACGGACAGCTCACGGAAGAACCCCGACCAAACCTAAGAGGAGGCGTGTAGTGGTGATAGGGGATTCCCTACTGAGGGGAACAGAAGCAGTGATCTGTGGGCCTGACAAGATGTCTCGGGAAGTGTGCTGTCTCCCCGGGGCTAAGATCCAAGATGTAACTGAACGACTGCAAGGAATCATAAAACCCACTGACAAATACCCCTTCCTCTTGGTTCATGTGGGAACCAATGACACTGCAAGCAATAGCCTCCAGAAGATCAGAAGAGACTACGAGGCTCTCGGCAGGAAATTGAAGCAACTAAATGCACAAATTGTCATCTCATCTGTCCTCCCAGTTGAACGACGTGGCCCAGGGAGAGAGGGAAAAATAGTGGAAGTGAACAGCTGGCTTTGCAAATGGTGTAAACAGGAACGGTTTGGATTCTTAGATCACGGACTGCAGTTTCTTGAAGATGGACTTCTGGCAAGCGATGGGCTGCACCTCACAACGGTTGGGAGGAATGTTTTTGCCAAAAATCTCAGAAACCTCATCAGGAGGGCTTTAAACTGACTAATGTGGGGGAGGGAGACAGTGCTCCTGAAGGTAGGAGTCTATCAATTGATGAAGATGATCATCCAAATGTCATAGACCAAATGGAGCAAACAGCATGCAGACCTAGTGGTGGGAGGAAAAAATCCTTAAATAAGAGACACGGGGGAATGATTAATGGACTTCAATGTCTGTACACTAATGCGCAAAGCATGGGAAATAAACAAGATGAGCTTGAGCTCTTGGTACAGCAAACTAAATATGACATAATAGGCATCACTGAAACCTGGTGGGATAAGTCCCATGATTGGAATGTAATAATGGAGGGATACAATCTATTTAAGAGAAACAGACCAGACAAGAAAGGGGGAGGAGTGGCGTTATATGTCAGGGATGTGTATACCTGTGAAGAGATCCAAGATTTAGAACCTCAAAGCCAAAGTGAGAGCATTTGGGTCAAAATTAAGGGAGAGAAGAATAACAGAGACCTCATTGTGGGAGTTTACTATAGATCCCCAAGCCAAACGGAGGACATAGATGATGCCTTCCTGGAACAGATGGCCAAGCATGCAAAAGGAAGGGAGATAGTAGTAATGGGGGACTTCAATTACCCGGATATTTGTTGGATGTCAAACTCAGCCAAGAGCATAAGGTCAAACAGATTCCTCACTGGCCTTGCAGACAACTTCATTGTCCAGAAAGTGGGAGAAGCAACAAGAGGAACAGCCATTTTAGATCTGGTCCTAACCAATGTTGATGACCTGGTTAGTGGGGTAGAAGTGGAAGGATCATTAGGCACGAGTGATCATGCTCTTCTGAAGTTTACTATACAGCGGAAAGGAGCAGCCAAGCATACTAGGACTCAATTTCTTGACTTTAAGAAAGCCGACTTCATAAAACTTAGGGAAGTGCTGGGTGAAATCCCATGGACAGTAATACTAAAAGGAAAGGGAGTTCATGATGGCTGGGAGTTTGTTAAGAGGGAGATAGTAAAAGCACAACGTCAGGCAATACCAATGAGACGGAAACATGGAAGGTGCCTAAAGAAGCCAGGGTGGCTATCTAAAGAACTTTTAACTGAGTTAAGATTAAAAAAGGATGTGTACAAAAAATGGAAAAGGGGGGAAACCACCAAAGAGGAATTCAAACAAATAGCCAGCACGTGTAGACACAAAGTCAGGAAAGCTAAAGCACAGAATGAACTCAGGCTTGCTAGAGAGGTTAAAAGCAACAAAAAAGGCTTTTATGGGTATGTCCGTAGCAAAAGGAAGAACAAAGAAACAGTGGGGTCACTCAGAGGAGAAGATGGTGAAATGCAAACAGGGGACACAGAAAGGGCTGAACTCCTCAATGCCTTCTTTGCCTCAGTCTTCTCCGATAAAGAAAACAATGCCCAACCTGAAGAATTTGGAGCAAATGATTCAGCAAAGGAAACACAGCCCAGAATAACTAAGGAGATAGTACAAGAATACTTGGCTAGTTTAGATGTATTCAAGTCTCCAGGGCCAGATGAACTGCATCCAAGAGTATTAAAAGAACTGGCAGATGTGATCTCAGAACCACTGGCAGTCATCTTTAAGAATTCCTGGAGAACAGGCGAAGTCCCGGCAGATTGGAGGAGGGCAAATGTTGTCCCTATTTTCAAAAAGGGGAAAAGAGAGGACCCAAATAATTACCGCCCAGTCAGTCTGACATCAATACCAGGGAAGATTCTGGAGCAGATCATTAAGCAAACAGTCTGTGAGCACCTAGAAAGGAATGCTGTGATCACCAATAGTCAGCATGGATTTCTGAAAAATAAGTCATGTCAGACTAACCTGATCTCGTTTTTTGACAGAATTACAAGCCTGGTAGATGAAGGGAACGCAGTGGATGTAGCCTATCTTGATTTCAGCAAGGCATTTGACAAGGTGCCCCATGATATTCTTGTAAAGAAGCTGGTAAAATGCGGTCTTGACTATGCTACCACTCAGTGGATTTGTAACTGGCTGACTGACCGAACCCAAAGGGTGCTCATCAATGGTTCCTCTTCATCCTGGAGAAGAGTGACTAGTGGGGTGCCACAGGGTTCTGTCTTGGGCCCGGTCTTATTCAACATCTTTATCAACGACTTGGATGATGGACTCAAGGGCATCCTGATCAAATTTGCAGATGACACCAAACTGGGAGGGGTGGCTAACACCCCAGAGGACAGGATCACACTTCAAAACGACCTTGACAGTTTAGAGAACTGGGCCAAAACAAACAAGATGAATTTTAACAGGGAGAAATGTAAAGTATTGCACTTGGGCAAAAAAAATGAGAGACACAAATACAAAATGGGGGACACCTGGCTTGAGAGCAGTACATGTGAAAAGGATCTAGGAGTCTTGGTTGACCACAAACTTGACATGAGCCAACAGTGTGACGCGGCAGCTAAAAAAGCCAATGCAATTCTGGGCTGCATCAATAGGAGTATAGCATCTAGATCAAGGGAAGTAATAGTGCCACTGTATTCTGCTCTGGTCAGACCTCACCTGGAGTACTGTGTCCAGTTCTGGGCACCACAATTCAAGAAGGACACTGACAAACTGGAACGTGTCCAGAGGAGGGCAACCAAAATGATCAAAGGCCTGGAAACGATGCCTTATGAGGAACGGCTAAGGGAGCTGGGCATGTTTAGCCTGGAGAAGAGGAGGTTAAGGGGTGATATGATAGCCATGTTCAAATATATAAAAGGATGTCACATAGAGGAGGGAGAAAGGTTATTTTCTGCTGCTCCAGAGAAGCGGACACGGAGCAATGGATCCAAACTACAAGAAAGAAGATTCCACCTAAACATTAGGAAGAACTTCCTGACAGTAAGAGCTGTTTGACAGTGGAATTTGCTGCCAAGGAGTGTGGTGGAGTCTCCTTCTTTGGAGGTCTTTAAGCAGAGGCTTGACAACCATATGTCAGGAGTGCTCTGATGGTGTTTCCTGCTTGGCAGGGGGTTGGACTCGATGGCCCTTGTGGTCTCTTCCAACTCTATGATTCTATGATTCTATGATTCTACCTCTAATCCTTAACACACTATCACACAGTATAAAGACTGGGCAGAAACTGTAACTCCCTTGGCTTCCCAGGGCTTGTCCATGGTGGAATTTAATGTGGATTTGAAGCTTCTTGGATTTTCTAATAATTTTTGTCAGCAGCAGCCTCACAATAACCTCTATCCAAGTGGCAGCCTGCGCTCCCCCCACCCACACCAAATAAGGATTTCCCCACAGTTTAAGGCTACATTCTTAAACATATTTCTAAGGTAGAAAGACACAATGAACATAGTATGACTTAGTTCCGACTAGATAGGCATAGGACTGAGCTGCATAGCTGCAATCCTAACCATACTTAAAAAAATTGTGACAAAAACAGAATAACAATAAAGAGGGGACATGTCTCTTGAAACTTGTTTTGTCTTTTTAAAATTGTTTCTGTCTTTTGGGTTAGTTTTCCCATCAATGCAATTATCCAAGCTTGCTGGTATCACTCATATAGCAAATTATCTTTCTGTAAATCTTTCTGCCTTCCAGCTATTGTCAAGCATGCTGCTGATAGTAAGAATTTTAATAAGTTCTTGCTTAAATGGGAGCAAGTTTCTCTGAAATCAGTTGGACTTATTTCCAAACATACTTGTTCAGAAATTGTGCTGCATGTCTTAAATGGAAGTTCAGAATGTTTCAGTTTGATGCTTTTAATTCTGCAGGAACAGATGTTGTCATTGTCAAAAATGGACGACGAGTATGTGGTACAGGAGGCTGCCTAGCCAATGCTCCTTTGCATCAGAACAAGAGCTATTTTGAGTTTAAAATCCAGTCTACAGGTCAGTCAAAAAGTTAACGCTCGCAAAAATTCATCATGTTTTGCTCAGATTGGATTCAAATCGCTGAGTAAAATCCACTGTTGCATGAGCAGGCTCCTGCTCACACCCTGGGACTTCATCCTCCTCTCGCCTTCCATCTTGTGGCCCCTTACTGCTCAAATCTGAGAATCATAGATTTATATGAAGGAAAGCCAACAAACTGAAGCTCAATCCAGATAAGACACCGTTAGTGGGCAGTTTCCTAGACCAGTTGAGGACTTTTACCATTTTCATTAAATTATTCACACCAGGATAGCAGTTCACAAGATAATTTCTAATGTAGCTATTGCAATAAAGTTATTTTTTTCCAGGGAAGTGTCACGAAGTCAGCTCCTTGCTAAGGGTGCAAGGTATCCTAGAGAGGCTTCCACTGGTTCAGTCCTAGCACCTCCACTTAAAGTGTCAGATTGCCTGAGACTTTGGAGAGCCATTGCCAGTCAGTAGAACCTGTTGGAGCCCTTGTTAGCCATGTTGATCTGCAAAATGCTTTGCTGGCAACCAAGGGTTCCTTCAGCTTCCTTATGGAGCCAGGTTGCAGCACCTCATTGCCCATAATTCAGTGTAGTTGGGACCAGTTCAAGATGAGGGTTCATTAAAAAAAATGGAAAGGGCTTTTAAAAGGGTTCTGTTGCAGTTGAGCAGGGGTGGGAAGATAAAGGTTTGGTTTGACTTCCTGATCAATATATGCTCATTATTTCACCTACTGTCATGACATAGCACAGTCAGTTGTGTGTGGAAATAAGCTATTTGGGCAAGGCTGGGGGAACGTCTTGCAAGTTCCCCCAGCTTTGCCCATTGCCACTGTACTACACTAAAGTACATTCTCTCTCTCTCTTCTCACTTCTCCCATGGCTGTGCCATTCCATTTCCCCCCTCGCCATGTATTCAGGAATCTGGGGTATTGGTGTTGCGACTCAGAAAGTCAATTTGAATCAAATTCCTCTTGGGTGTGATGTGAATAGTCTAGTACTGAGAAATGACGGAGCTCTGTACTACAATAATGATGAGAAGAACAGGTTGCCAGCAAACAACCTTCCACAAGAGGGTGATATTGTGGTGAGTTTCTTTCAGTATTGCTTATATGAATCTGACCAGAATTGATGGTGTTTCCTCCAAGCCAAAGCTAACTTCAAAGCAGATGTGATAATCTCTGCTATATATATGTGATAATCTCTGCTATATTTGCAACAACAGAGTCCAGTTAAGCTGGTCTTTATGTAAAGTTGGACTTTAATACAGAACCCCAAGGTCCTTAAAAGGAACCTGTTGTTGTCATAATTCAGGCCAAAGGAAGAGCACACATTCAATCAAATTTAATTCATAATAATAAATCTATGGCCTTTACAATGTGGTGGAGTGCGTGGGTTTTTATGTATTTTGTGTCATTTGTATTTTTATGTTGTGAACCACCCTGTGATATTCAAATGAAGAGTGGTATACAAAACAAACAAACAGGGCTGTGGGTACTTGACGTAGTGGGGTATTGGATGTAAGTAGCTCCCTGAAAATGTTCATATTTTTAAAGTAAGTTTGTAGCTCTTATAGCTGTGAAGTTAATGTTGAAATGTCCACAACATTCAGAAGTAAAATAAATAAAAGTGGAGTCTAAATGTCACATTTGTGTTTCAGGGAATTACATATGACCATGTAGAACTAAATGTGTATTTGAATGGGAAAAATATGCACTGTCCAGCCTCAGGAATTAGAGGAACTGTCTTCCCTGTGGTATATGGTAAGTTTGGGTTCTCAGGACGTATTAACACTTTGACCTCCCTACTACACAGTTTCCTATTTTCCACATAGACCAATATTCTGAGAATGGGCTTATATTTTAATAGAACATTCCTACTCCCAGTGTAAGGTTCCTTGTAGTCTCTAGGGTGGTCTGGTGGAGAGTTGGACAACAGCTTTTCAGAACATCCACTTGAGACTTGTTGATCAAGAACTTGGACCGATGGCCATAGCTGCTATTCTTTTCTAACCATGGAAGCTTCCTATCATTGCTCTGCATAATCATAAGGACCAAAGGTGGTGGTTCCTTTGGGATTTAGGCCACATCATCTTTTTCCCCTGCTGTAACAACAAAAAGTAGTTCTTTGTGCTCAAATGGGTAGTGCTGGGTGAATTTTCTTATTATGCAAAGGTAATTTGTTATTAAGTGCTACTCGCCTGCTCACTTGTAATGTGTAAGAATTGCTTTCCGGTGTACAGGTAGAGAGGCTTTTGCAAGTTGGATGAGATCAGGTCAGCTGTTGATGTGCCACAAAGATTTGTGAGCTTTTAATTTTTGTTGTTTGAGTTGCAAGGTTTTGTTAGACTCCATCATAATTTCCAGGAGTATTGTTCTGCATTTTGTCAACATAAGTAATAGTTTAATCAAGAAAACAAAGGTTAAGTGTCTGCCAAGGCTGGTTGAATGTGAAGTATGTATATATGCAAGTTTTTCACTATTTTCTTCTTCCTTCTTACAGTGGATGACAGTGCCATTTTGGATTGTCAATTCAGTGAATTTTATCACACTCCTCCAGCAGGGTTTGAAAAGATACTCTTTGAGCAACAGATTTTCTGAATGTCCCTACTAAGGATTTACTCCCTAGCACTTTCTACAAAACCTATTCTTTTAAAGCTTCTCATTATTCCTAAGACACAAACTTGTATTTAGTAATGTTTAGGTGCTTGGGCTGGACAACCATATTACCAGAGAAGTATGTTGCAAGTGTTAGATTTGACTATGGTTTTGTAACATGGACAATATTTCCATTTGATGTAAAGGGATGCAGTCCACTACACCTGATCCCTGTATGCCCATGATGACACTGTTCAATACATTAGTGTTATATGCTGTTACATTCTTAACAAGTCTGAGAAACCACACAACAATTTATGGATTAAAAGTATTGTCCACAGCAAGTGTTTCATCTTTTTTCTAGCAAGAGATTTTAATAAAAGTGTTCTTGTGTTAAATTAGGGCAAAATGCCGACTATAATAAGCGAAGCCAACCTCTCATTTAAAGTCTGCTTACTGGAACAAGCAACTGTGGTGAATAAATTTTTTGATGTTGCAATAAAGCGTTTCTTTTGAACTCTTAATTAGTTCTTTGGGGGATATTTCATTTACTTCCCCCAGAAAATAATAAAAAAATTATAGGTTGTTTTTCCCCCTGTTTTTGTGAATATTTTAGGTTGATTTTCTGTGTACTCAGAATATCAAGAATTTTGTAAAGCTAATACTATAAATCCAGAAATCTGAAGCGTGTTGTACATGGACTGCTACATTAAAATAAATACTTTTTACCTCTGAGAAAGATTTATTGGGAATAGTACAGCAGGTTTTTTTTAAAAAGTTTGTACTTCAACATAGTTGCCCCCCTTTCTTTGCTGTTTTCTTTATTTGCTAATCGTTGAAAATTATGTCTTTGCATTTCAGATCCTTGAATATATTATCTTAATTCTGTTTGCAAGTACAGTAGATTGAAAAAGCTAATTGCTTTATTGTTACAGTTAACACACATGCATACCCTGGCAGGTTTTTCAGCCTTATGAAGGAAATTATTTTGGATTCTTTATAATCCACTGATACTAGAAATACTTATTTTTCTGTTATTGTGGTATTCTTCAGAGATGGAACTTTTCACAGTTTTCATGGACTAGTGCTAGAAGCTATGTTTATGCCGGAGGCTTATTAATCCAGTAGAGTAAGCTCACAACTTACATGGGGGTTACATTGCAGGGATTGTGCCTAAAGTAAGGTTACCAGATGTCCCTGTTTCCCGGGGATAGTCCCCGGATTTACAAATCAGTCCCCTGACAAAATCCATGGAAGTTGAAAAGTGTCCCCTGATTCATTGATACATGGGGTTCATTGGCGGGCAGAATTGCCAGTGTCTCCCTGGATTTTTGTCAAGTGAACAAAGTTCAATGTGCACAAGTTGTGGGCTTGCTGTTTAGTGCATATTTACAGGACACATTTTGGGGAATGGTGGCTTAGTTCTGGTATTTAACAACTTGACAACCAAGTTTCCTGCTTGGCAGGGGGTTGGACTCGATGGCCCTTGTGGTCTATTCCAACTCTACGATTCTATTATCTTATTAGTTGTTAATCGGCTACAAAAGCAGCCACCCAGTTTCCCTTGGTGCTAAAATCAGGTCCTTGAAGAATTAAGGTACTTTCAGATGTGGGCAACAAATCATTGCCATTTTGCTTTATGGTGGAAGTGAAATGCCAACATTGCTCCAAGACTGGTGAACCCAGATTGGCAGCTGTGAAATGCTGGTGGGGGAGGTGTTATTTTCATTAGCAACTCTGTGTATTTTGTGCTCTCTCCTTCATGGCTATCCCACCACCTGTAATTTGAGGGGGAAGGAAACAAAATTGATACAGAGTTGGTATTTGTAAAGCGAAGGGTTAAAGTGACAGTTAAAGTACAGGTGGGATTCTTAGGTACCCTGCTCCATGTGGACCACATATTAATCATCTGGAGCTACAATGACATCAGATGACCAGTACAGTGTGCTTTGAATTCTCAATAATCAGTTCATGGGCGTGGCAGGGAGGAGCAGCTGCCCTCCCCAAATCAATAAAAATACATAGCTGAGGTTCTGCTCCCCTTAACAAAAGGGCTCCCCCACAACAAAAAATCCTGGCTATGCCCATGGATCAGATGGTTGTCAGGGCTTTAAAGTTCCAAGTAGTTCTCTCTGTAAGCAGAGCACTTGGCTCTATGCAAGCCTCCCTCCCCCTGTAAGCTCAACCCCAATGCTAAAGAGAGCAATGGGGGTGGGGGCTTCAAACCATCACACAAAGCTTTCTGTAAGTACCAACAACCAGCTAATAGGGCTTGCAAGGAGCTTCCACTCCGGCTAGGTAAAGGGACCCCTGACCATTAGGTCCAGTCGTGGCCAACTCTGGGGTTGCGGCGCTCATCTCGCTTTATTGGCTGAGGGAGCTGGCGTACAGGTTCCGGGTCATGTGGCCAGCATGACTAAACCGCTTCTGGCAAACCAGAGCAGCGCACGGAAACGCCGTTTACCTTCCCGCCTATTTATCTACTTGCACTTTGACATGCTTTCGAACTGCTAGGTTGGCAGGAGCAGGGACCGAGCAACGGGAGCTGACCCCGTCGCAGGAATTTGAACTGCCGACCTTCTGATCGGCAAGTCCTAGGCCCTGTGGTTTAACCCACAGCGCCACCCGCGTCCACTCCGGCTAGATTAAAGCAATTTAATACAGATGAAATAGCAGTGCGATGTGGCATCTATACCTGGGGAAATTCTGCAGCTGTTCCATTGTGTCTGGTTCCAAGTGTGATTTTCTGAGCTTGAAGAAGGGGGAAACAGATGTTTTATTCACAGTGGTAATGTGCAGATGCTCTTCAAAAAATGAATGGACAAAGTTCCACATTAAATACCCAGTGTGAAGGTAGCACTAAGGCAGTGAAAATAAATAAAAAAATTGTCCAGTAGCACTGTAGAGAAGAACTAAGTTTGTTCTGGGTATAAGCTTTCGTGTACATGCACACTTCTTCAGATACAATATATAATAATAATAGTATTAATAGTAATAATAATTTATTATTTATACCCTGCCCATCTGGCTGGGTTTCCCCAGCCACTCTGGGCGGCTTCCAACTAAACACTAAAATACAATAACCTATTAAACATTAAAGCTTCCCTAAACAGGGCTGCCTTCAGATGTCTTCTAAAAGTTTGGAAGTTATTTTTCTCTTTGACATCTGATGGGAGGGCGTTCCACAGGGTGGGTGCCACTACCGAGAAGGCCCTCTGCCTGGTTCCCTATAACTTGGCTTCTCGTAGTGAGGGAACTGCCAGAAGGCCCTCGGCGCTGGACCTCATTGTCCGGGCGGAACGATGGAGGTGGAGACACTCCTTCAGGTATCCTGCACTGAGGCCATTTAGGGCTTTAAAGGTCAGCGCCAACACTTTTAATTGTGCCCGGAAACGTACTGGGAGCCAGTGTAGGTCTTTCAGGATCGGTGTTATATGCTCTCGGCGGCCACTCCCAGTCACCAGTCTAGCTGCCGCATTCTGGATTAGAGGAAGACTCCCCTGAGTGAGTGCTTGAGGGCCCTGCTCTTGCCACTTACCATCTGGCCTGGGGTGGGGCCTGAAGCCTCATAAGGACTGCATGCTGCTTGCTGCCACTACCCAGGAGGACTCCCCTGAGTGAGTGCCTGAGGGCCCTGCTCCTTCCTGCCACTTACCATCTGGCCTGGGGCAGGGCCTGAAGCCTCATAAGGACTGCGTGCTGCTTGCTACCTGCTGCCCAGGAAGACTCCCCTGTGTGAGTGCTAGAGGGCCCTGCTCTTGCCACTTACCATCTGGCCTGGGGCGGGGCCTGAAGCCTCATAAGGACTGCGTGCTGCTTGCTGCCTGCTGCCCAGGAGGACTCCCCTGAGTGAGTGCTTGAGGGCCCTGCTCTTGCCACTTACCATCTGGCCTGGGGTGGGGCCTGAAGCCTCATAAGGACTGCATGCTGCTTGCTACCTGCTGCCCAGGAAGACTCCCCTGTGTGAGTGCTTGAGGGCCCTGCTCTTGCCACTTACCATCTGGCCTGGGACGGGGCCTGAAGCCTCATAAGGACTGCGTGCTGCTTGCTGCCCAGGAGGACTCCCCTGAGTGAGTGCTTGATGCCCCTGCTCTTGCCACTTACCATCTGGCCTGGGGCGGGGCATGAAGCCTCACAAGGACTGCTTGCTGCTTGCTGCCCAGGAGGACTCCCCTGAGTGAGTGCTTGAGGGCCCTGCTCTTGCCACTTACCATCTGGCCTGGGGCGGGGCCTGAAGCCTCATAAGGACTGCGTGCTGCTTGCTACCTGCTGCCCAGGAGGACTTCCCTGAGTGAGTGCTTGAGGGCCCTGCTCTTGCCACTTACCATCTGGCCTGGGGTGGGGCCTGAAGCCTCATAAGGACTGCTTGCTGCCACTGCCGCGGAGGACTCCCCTGAGTGAGTGCCTGAGGGCCCTGCTCTTGCCACTTACCATCTGGCCTGGGGCAGGGCCTGAAGCCTCATAAGGACTGCGTGCTGCTTGCTACATGCTGCCCAGGAAGACTCCCCTGTGTGAGTGCTTGAGGGCCCTGCTCTTGCCACTTACCATCTGGCCTGGGGCGGGGCCTGAAGCCTCACAAGGACTGCTTGCTGCCCAGGAGGACTCCCCTGAGTGAGTGCCTGAGGGCCCTGCTCTTGCCACTTACCATCTGGCCTGGGGCGGGGCCTGAAGCCTCATAAGGACTGCGTGCTGCTTGCTACCTGCTGCCCAGGAAGACTCCCCTGTGTGAGTGCTAGAGGGCCCTGCTCTTGCCACTTACCATCTGGCCTGGGGCAGGGCCTGAAGCCTCATAAGGACTGCGTGCTGCTTGCTACCTGCTGCCCAGGAAGACTCCCCTGTGTGAGTGCTAGAGGGCCCTGCTCTTGCCACTTACCATCTGGCCTGGGGCAGGGCCTGAAGCCTCATAAGGACTGCGTGCTGCTTGCTGCCCAGGAGGACTCCCCTGAGTGAGTGCTTGAGGGCCCTGCTCTTGCCACTTACCATCTGGACTGGGGTGGGGCCTGAAGCCTCACAAGGACTGCTTGTTGCTTGCTGCCGCTGCCCAGGAGGACTCCCCTGAGTGAGTGCCTGAGGGCCCTGCTCTTGCCACTTACCACCTGGACCAGGGCGGGGCCTGACAGGCCTCACTAGGACAGTTGTTACTGCCGGAGGGGCACAGTGTGTTTTTTAAATGTTTTTTAAAAAAATTCTTTTGGATTTTTTGTATGTGGGGGGTGGGGTGGGGTGGATGTTTGGTTGGGCTTGGGGAATTATTTTTTATTTTGATGTTTTAGTAATTTTTACATTTTTTTTGTTTGTATTGTTTTATTGGTTTTGTTTGTTTGTTTAAGGTGTTATTTTGTTCTTAGGGGGAGGGGTCAGGGCTGCCGGGGAGTGGGCCCCAGCCCACAAAATGGCTGGGGCATGTCCCACAGGGGGGGATGCACTGGGGCAACCGATCTCAGTGATCATGGGTAGGAGGAGGAGTTACGCTAAGACTAGACCATGTCATTACAGAGGGGGCAGGTTTAGTCGTTGTCTGAGG